CATCCTTGTGCCAACTCAACTCAGACATACCGCGCGATGCAGCTAACTCCCTAGGATGTGCCTTCCACCCCCAAATTTTCCACTTAAGCAAATTAATGATCAGGAAAGATGGGATACACCCAGAAGACAGAAAACCACTTATTCAGCAAGTCAAAAATGGATATGCTGGCACTGAAACTTATAGTTGAAAGTGAAATGCATCCTACAAAGAATCCCAGATTTCGGCTGCCTGCTAACTACAGTAAATATTTCAGGGATGTCCCTAAGATGATTTTTACTGAGAACAAATAGTACCGTCTTCTTAAAAGCAACGCAGAGGCTGGCTTGATAGGGAATAGACAGTTCTTTTATCCCTCTAACGTATTTATTCCCTTATGTTCAATATTTCTCAGAAAGGATGTCACTTCCATAGAGAATTCTGCTGCTCTACATTTTCAGAACACAAATGTTCCACTGAAGCCCAACTTAAATTTCAGAAGTTGATAAAGAAAATGGAAAGAGAAGAAAAAAAAAATTTGCATCTGGTGGTTTAGAATGCTAAAATCCTTCAGACTAAAAGACAGCAGCAAATCCAGAAACACACTGATCAAGCTAACTGTAATCTCACACACCTTATGGAAGTAGGCATGTTTATACTTTGCATGCCTATCTTTTCACATGCAAAAGATGACATCTGAAATGTATGTAACTTGAGAGCTTGCCCTGTAGTCTTAACTATCCTCCCATAAACTTAACCAACAAAAATAATAATTAGCATAGGTGTTTCATAATCCTTCCAAAATACTTTCTCAGTAAGAAGGTAAGCAAGGATTGTTTTACCATTCAATAGAAAAACAAGGCTGTTTAATGTGGGTATGTGCCAATAAATGAAAACTATTTTAAATGAATATTTTTGCAGTGGTCTGGAGGATCATGAGCCTAAATGTTGAACACTCCCTAGCTGCAAATTTGCTCGGCGCTGAATCACTGTGCAACTCTGCACAGAACAAATAGATGGAGGAAAGAAAGTCAAGATGAAAATTACTCAAGCACATTAACGCTTATAATTCAAGAAGCTGGAATGTCCCCAATGAAATTTAGGACACAGACAGACTTAGATGCACCCTTACTAAAGAAAAGGCTGTCTCAGAAGACAGCACAAAAGGCAGCAGCACAGACACACTGAAGGGGCATGCAAAGCCACCAGTGGCACACTCACTGTGCCTAGGACACTAGTATGTGTCTCAGAAGTATCTTCTGCGATGTTCAGGGGAAATTTCCTCCAGTGGCAACCAGGCCTTCTGAAGCCTTTTCTACTTATTTTGGACAAAACCAAGCATTTTAAACCTCAATTTCCACCTTACATAAAATGGAGAGAAAACCTTGCTCGCCAATAAAGTAATTAAGGAGTTAAAGTCTCAGTTGTAGGAAAAACAAATTTCACATGTTTGAGGTAACGCAACATGCATAAATAAAGTGTAGCTACCCAGCTTAAGCCGATAAAGACTTTTACTCCAGCCCACACCTGGATATTTGATAATGCATGCAAATACAAGCTTTTAACATGGTATATGAGGAATTAAGTAACAACACAACCTTGAAACTGAAATTAATATTAACGCACATAAAGGCTTTTTTCAGCCAAAAACCAAAAAAAGCTGCTACAAATCTATAAACCACAAATTGATGTTGATTCCTAATGAACATAAAATCTTGCCCTGTATGATATTACAGTTTGCAGAAAACTGGCACAAGACTATTACTTAACCTTGGCCTACAAGCAAGCATCACTTCATTAGTACAAATTAGTAATTTAAGGTATCAGGGGTAGGTATAAGCTTTACACAAACTCCCAAGGAAGTAGTGGATTTGTGAGAGATATACATATGTACTTTCTTCCTCACTGTGAACACCTGCACATATACTTAACTTAGATGAAGTCTTCTTTCTAAAGTTAGTCTTGGAGCTGTTAATATCATTTGGTCATGCCAGCGCTGGTGCATGTATAACAATAGCAAAAGTTAACATACACATTAAAGAAAAGGCTGTTTTATTAACATTCTGAGCCATCATTTAACTGTCAGGTGAAATACCACATGATTTGTTCACAGAAATTAACTGATCAGAAATGAAAAATTATCAAGGTTTTATGTTCTGATTGATGTTCTCTCAAAAACATTCTATCACATATTTATTTAAACTAAAAAGTGGATAAAAATAGAAAAAAAATTAGGAATATCCTAAAACCAGTAGTACTGATGTTATTTTCAGCTAGCAACTTTTCCCGTTCTTCAATTCAATAGGTATCAGTAGACAGCTTCAAAAACATCATGCAATTTCTCTGCACAATTCTACTAATACCTAGATTTTTATTTCCTTCCCACTATAAATTCATCCTGTAATCCCACAATGCTAATGCAGAAAGGGCACTCAAATTTGGAACTCCAAAACCTGAAATACAGTTGCAGCAAGTTCATTTAAGTAATGCTGAGGTTGCTTGTATTTGCTGTTTGAGAACCTTGGTCAATGTACTTTAGGAAAGAAAAGTGACTTGCATTTGACTTGGAGTGGTCTGCGTGCCAACTACCACTGCAATCAGTATCACTCCCAAACAAAACTGACAACAGAAAAGCGATTAACAATAGAGAAGAGCAAGAGGAGTGGCACACTGAGAATAAAAACAGAAATACAATTTTTAAAAGGTACAAAAACATTCAGAGAAAAAGAAAATTATCAGAGTACAACATTATGTATGGTTAACATGAAAATCTATCCTGAAAGAACTGGGGCACTAAAAGGAAACAAACCAAAATAATCTGCTATCTCATTGTTTGGGGAAAAAAAAAAAAAAACACAACCTGGAATGAAACATGCCTAAAGCATGATTTCTAGTTCACTAGCTACAACTCAGATCAAATCCTGATGCATATTAGCTATTCGTCTGAGATACCAATACTACAGCTGTTACACTATCCATCTTTTAGTAGTATTTTCCACCTTCTTCTCCTGTGTCCAACAAACTCCCAAAAAGGATGTAGCAACCAGAGTTAAACTTTCAGAAAAAGAGCATTAGTGGCATTTAGACAATGTGTTTTCTTTTCCTTTCTTTTGCTTTACCAGTTGCAAACATCCTAATAAAACTAACAGTGGAATGGGTCTCATTTCAAAGGCTGATCATTTAACATACACTCAAGTGTTCTTTACATTTTTAATCTTTGCAAAACTTCCCTTATAAATAGACATTGTATTACAGCACTATTAATGATAAAATGCCAAAGCGGCATTTAGAACTTTATAAACATAGGAACTTCACCGGCAAAGCCACAAATCAAACAACAAAGGACTGGGAATGGAAGAGGGTTGTGGGGGTTTTTTTGTTAAACAGCCATAGTAATAAATATGCAAGCATAATAATTAGCATGTTGTTTTGAACTGTAATGGTATTGAATTTTCTACCAAAATTTTACATCAACATCTATTTCATCTTGGGGACACTAACTATTTGAGGATGGAAACATCACATCTGCTGCATATTACATACTGACAGCACTGAATTACAAAGGTTTTGATCTGCTTGGAGGAAAAGGTAGAGATGGTGGGCATCATCTTCTGGGAAGAGTTAGTACCACATATGCAGACTTACTGGGTAAAACACAGCAGTTTAGGTAGTACATGAAGTACTCTCCACCTGGTAACAGGAGATAGCATCTCAACAGTTCACCCACAAACACATTTTTAAAGTTAGATCAAAATTAAACTGAATACAAAACCCTTTCAAATCAGGTCCTAAGTCAACAGTTTCTCAGAAATAATACAGTTGAGATCTTCAAAATTCAAAGAAAACTGCTTGAGGAAAATACTCTGCTTGGGTTTTTTCCACAGTGTTATCACAAAGAGCTCTATTTAGCCGGTAGATACAGTTCTTCAACAAAACTAGCAAACTTGAAAATATTCCAGAAGAGCAATTCGCAGCTTAGCACCACCCCACCTTAAATCACTCCTAACTACAGCTCTTTCATGAAGAGCCACGATCTCAAAGGAGACAAAACACAAACAGTAACAAACCAAAACCAACTGCAATACACCTTTTGGACAAAAAAAAAAAAAAAAAAAGCAAAAAAACCCCCCACCCCCTACATGTTCTGGAGTGAAGCAGCCAAGTGGGAACAGTAAATGAAGGAGTGGCCAGTATAGATGCTGATTAATGGCGAGGGATGGACGTATCAAAGAAGCTAATTCTGCCAGCTTTATGATTCGGCTTAAACTGTTGGGAGTTTTCCTTCTGATTTCTGTCAGAGCAAAGTACATCTATAGAGGGCATCTGAAAATTCTGCCTCTTGTAAGGTAATCTTTTGCTCTGCATACAAGAACTACCATAGAATTCAGTAGAGAATGATACATTAAAGAAAAGATGACGCTAGTTTTTTCGAAAAATCAATTATGGCCTCCAAAAAAGCTAGACATAAATGACTTAATATCTTCCTTGGAATAGAATATTTTTTTTTTTAATATACCAAGGTAAAGATAAGCACCACCATTTACATTCTTTCACTTATTTAGCAAAATGCCCTCACTTCATTTTAAAGATAATTTAAGTCCAAAAGAAAATGGTGAAAAAAAATCCAAAGCAGGCCACACAATGGTGTATTTTGAACATCCTTATAGATTGAACAAATTATTTAAGAAACAGAATCTGACCCTTCAATAAACCTGTTCAAAGTTGATCATATTTCACAAACAGGTTTCCAGTTTTGCTTTTATAAATTACTGATCATTAACTTTGAAACATGCCAGTGTGCAAGATTCATCACATGCCTTCAGATACTCATTCATGTCTCCAACCATATGGTACAAGGTTAGCAACAGTTCTCAATAACCACAAGATATAGGCAAGTCAGTTCTATCCTGCTTACTATTATAGAAAATACTTGTTACTAGTAAACTCTTTAACAGGAATTATTTTCACTCCATCAGGTAACTCCCCATAACTCCAACAGGAATTTGGAGCTCAAATTACTTACCTGTGAACATAATGCAACTGATGAACGGAATCAATAGCTATCACCATTTCAGCCAAATAAAAACGAGCCATATCTTCAGGTAGTCTGTCCTCAAACTTGCTGAGCAATGTAAGCAGGTCTCCTCCAACATAGTAATCCATAACCAGGTACTATGGAGTGGGAATGATAAGAAAACACAGAGGGGAAAAAAAAAAACAATTTATTGAGTGAATCAGAGACTAAAAACTAATTTAAGCATAAAAATTAATTTATTGCAAAAATTATTATGGGCATTAAAAAAAGCTAACCAAGATGCTTAGATGTTTTGAAAACAAGTAGCTGGTTCAGCCTCATTTTAATATTTAACCTACTTGATTATATTTCATATTTATACCTCTCCAAATACAGTAAGCCTCATGACAAAATAGTTACCAGCTTCATCCACTGTCCCATCACTAAACATAAAATATTTAGATACTCTGTATTCCCTTACAAAAACAATACCCTTTGATAGAATGTAAAAGGAGTAAAGGATTAAAGCGTAGACCTATAAAAACGAAACCAACTGTGTTAACTTGGGATCTCATTTAAGGGCCCTAATTTCCCAGGCTTCCCCTTCCCTTTTTTCCTACCATCTTCTTTTCCCATTAAAGAAATTATTTTGGAGACTAAAGTTTTTAGACTACTTAGATTAAGGCAAAGATTAAGAGACTTCCAGTGGCTCACAGTACAATTCCAGATATTGTTGGCATTGCGCACAATACAGGATCTGCCAACATAGAGTGGAAGATGTCACCTTCTCTGATTGAACTGATAGGGAAAAATACACTTGATTTCTGATTTATTAATGAAACACAAAACCTGCTTGCCATTGAATCATGTGCAAAGATTTTAAGGAGATGAGAAACTTTCTCAATTTTATTATATAATGACAGAACAAAATGCCACTTCCTTTAGAGACATGGTCAAAATAACTGGACAGAGTAAACTTAAGAGAAGTGGAAATTCACGATTGTCATGGTTTAACCCCAGTCAGCAACTAAGCACCACACAGCTGCTGGCTCACCCTCCCCCACAGTGGGATGGGGGAAGAGAATCAGGGAAGAAAAAAAAAAAAAAAAGTAAAACCCAGGGGTTGAGATAAAGGCAGTTTAACAGGACAGCAGAGGAAGAGAAAGTAATAATAATAATGATAGAAGAATATACAAAACAAGTATACCAACCACTGACCAATACCCAGCCAGTTCCCGAGCAGCAATCGCTGCCCCCGGCCAACCCCCCCCAGTTTCTATACTGAGCATGACATCATATGGTATGGAATAGCCCTTTGGTCAGTTTGCATCAACTATTCTGGCTGTGCCCCCTCCCAGCTTCTTGTGCGCCTGGCAGAGCATGGGAAGCTAAAATCCTTGACTAGCATAAGCAGTACTTAGCAACAACTAAAACATCAGTGTGTTATCAACATTCTTCTCCTACTAAATCCAAACCACAGCACTATGCCTGCTACTAGGAAGAAAATTAACTCTATCCCAGCTGAAACCAGGACAACTATTAATATCTTTTTATCTTAGTTTAGTTTAATTGTGGAACAGCAACTGGAAGGGCAAATGGGAAAAAGAAAAAAAAAATCAAACTAATTATAACTAACAAACTAATTATAAGCAATCTAATTTAACACCCACCACTATGACATTACTTTCAAACATCATTGTGGACAGACTAGTTAGAATAGTTTCCCATTAAAGTATATAGTATCCGAAAGCTTTTGCCTAGAGTTCCAACCTCTGCTTTGAGGAAGGCAGCATATATCCACATTTGAAACAGTGACTTGTAACAATAGTGTATAATCAATCACAAATAATAACAAATATTCAAGATGCAGTAATATATATCACAATTTGATTCTTTAAAATTTTGGTAAAGCAACTTGAAGGGACTTTTATAATTAGTTGAACTCATTTGCTCAAGTCTTTCCCACCTTCAGAAAAAGAAATTAAAATATGTGGAAAAAAATCTGCAAAATTATACCAGCTATAAAGGAAGATGTGTGGCAGGCAGGAACCTTATGCCCGTTTCTTTTCCCTCATACTTTCCATAACAATAAAGATGATGAAGGAAGATTTTAGCAATTTGATACAGAATAACCTGGCATCCTCATTGATTCCAAGTGCATGAAAAAAGTACAGAATGCATTTTCACAAAATTCTAAATGTGCTGACAATCAAAATTTCATCTGTTGCTTTGTGACATGAATAGTAAACTTCTTAAACTATGCTCACAAGCCTTACACAAGATAAATATCTTCTATTCAGTGGTGCTCCCATGCTCCCTCCAAAATAAGATCTACAGTATTAGCTTCTCATGTTTTACAGTTTTAGAAAACACATAAAGCCTTTGGAACTTAATATAATTATTGTTAACTGATACACCATATAGTGAGACCTGCAAGAGCTTAACTTATTGCTTCAAAAGTATATTGAAAAAACCTCTTAAGATTCTCATAACTGATATGGGATCTCTGCACTCACTCTTCAGCATTTTTAAAAGCAGTAAAACTCAGTAACTGGATATACCAAAATAAAGGAATTTTGGCTCTTACAACACAGGACTCTGCACCTCCCATTCTGCAAGAGCAACACAGTAGCCTAATCACAAGGAAACCCTCAACAACTCCTCAAATATGCCAACATTTAAGCTGTAATTCACAGTATTAAGTCGTGCACTTGAAGTTAAACACATGCATAGGAATCAAAGCTAAGTTTAACAACTAATTTTTTAATAAACAATTCAGTCAATGCATAGCATCCCATTCAATGTCGAAGATCCATGTACTTTTTTTTAAAAAAAAGCTTTAAAAATACTATCTAAATGCACACAATCATCCAGATCTATTCAAGTCTCAACTACTTCTCAAGATACTACTGTACAACAGCACCATCCTTACAAGAGGAAGAAAAAGCACAGATTTAAGGACATTAAATTCTAGTAGCTAGTGGATGTTTAACATGGGCATTTAATCCTAAATCACAGGCTTGTTTAGGTTGGATGAGACCTCTTGAGATCATCTACTCCAACCTCATCTGCTCAAGTAGGGTCAGCTAGAGCAGCCTGATGAGGTCCAACCTTAATGATTCCTAGTTTTACTTTCATTAAAAAATAATCCTGCCACCAAGCCAGGAAACATGAAATTAATTATTACTCTACCCTTAACTGGTTTAATGGTGGACTTGGTAGCGTTAGGTTAATGGTTGGACTGGATGATCTTAAAGGTCTTTTCCAACCTAAACAATTCTATGATTCTATTCTATGACTGTGTCTAGTTGGGTTTTGAGTAACTCTAAGGATGGAGACTCCACAACTCCTCCAAGTAACATGTTCCAGTATTTGACAACCCTCACAGTAAAAACACGAAGTGTTTTTGTGTGTTCAGTCGAAATTCCATGTGTTTCAGTTTGTGTCCATTGTCCCCTGTCCCATCACCAGGCACTACTTAGAGGGATCTGGCTCCCTTGTCTTCATTCCCTCCCATCAGGTATTTATGCACATTGATGATAACCCTCCCAACCCTTCACTTATCTGGGCTGAAGAATCCCAGCTCTCTCAGCCTCTCCTTACATTAAAGATGCTCCAGTACCTTAATCATCTTTCTAGTGTTGCACTGAACTTGCTCCAGTAGCTCCATCTCTCTTTTGCACTGGGGAGCCCAGAACTGGACACAATACTTCAGATGCAGCTGCACCTGCACCAGGGCTGAGCAGAGAGGAAGGACCTCCACTGACCCCCTGGCAACACTTTTCCTTGCAGCCCAGAATACTCTTGGCCTTTTTTGCTGCAAGGGTGCATTGCTGGCCTATGGTCAGCTTGTTATCCACCAGGATCTCAAGCAAAGCTGCTCTCCAGCCAGTTGCCCCCCAGCATGTACTGGGTTTATTTTATTCCACCCCAGATGCAGGACATTGCATTTCCCTTTGTTGAACTTCATGAGATTTCTCTCTGCCCAGTTCTCCAGCCTGTCAAGGTCTGTCTGAATGATGGCACAGCCATCTGGCATATCAGCCACTTCTCCCTGTTTTTTATCACCTGTGAACTTGCCAAGGGTGCACTCCATCCCATTGTCCAGGTCATTAATGAAGATGTTGGCCCAAGTATTGAGCCCTTGGGTACACCACCATTGACTGGCCTCCAGCTGGCCTTTGTGTCACTGATCACAACCCCCTGGGCCCAGTAGTTCAGCCACTTTTCAATCCACCTCACTGTTGCTTATCTAATGCATACTTTGTCAGCTTGTCTGTGATGATCTTATGGCAGGCAGTGTCAAAGGCATTACTAACATCAAAGTAAACAACACTCTCTGCTCAACCACATCTACTGCTCAACCTACACAGATTTTTTTTTTTTTTAAAGGCCACTTCTGTCCTATTTTATTTTAATAAAAAGCACACAGAGAACTAGTGATACATTCCCACCAAAATGATGAAACACAGTATTACTGATATTTTCCCCAGCAGGCTGCAAAACTAGCTTCTGTTAGCACACTACCAAAGATAAAGAACAGAAGCTACTCTATGCTTAGTGAAAATAAGGAAACTGGCAACATTAAAATGAATTCTAGCAGGCTGTTGCGGAATATATATATTTTCTTTGAAATACTGCTAATAGTAAGATCAGAACACATAAAACATGACATTGTTTTTACTGTCCACATTAACAAAGCATGAAGCTGGCCGGAGTTATTTAAGCCAACAGTTAGATTCACAAATGCAGAGCCCTGAGATATTTATAGCATTCCTGAGATACTTATAGCAAAACTTTAAAGTTTCTGACCACTCTCCACCCTTCAGAATCTTATGCACAAAATCACATATCCTCACATTGTCTGCATGGTCCAGAACACAAAATTAACAAATAAACAAACTGTATTTGTCTCAAAGCACAATGAAGAATCTGCATTTCCATCCATATATACATAAAAGCAACACTCACTAAATAGTTTTCATCCTGGAATGCATAATGTAATGTTGTGATCCACTGGTTATCTCCATTCACTAACACATCTCTCTCTTCTCGAAAACAGGCTGTCTGAAGGGGAGAAAAATAATTACAGGCTTTGAGAAATATATATAAAGAAACACATTTTGCAAGTTGACTATGTTTTAACATTATATTTTGGGTGAAAAAATTCAAAACTGCCTCTCAGTTAAAAAGTCATTTACTACACTCTCCAAACATGCCAAAATCTATGAAAAACTAGGTATCAGAAAAGTCCACCTTCTTTAAACAGTTGTACTTCTCTACACTGTTAAGTGATGCAAAGGGAGAAATAAGCTGCTGCTTCCCATTGTCTAAAAACCCCAAGTCAAAACCTTATCTTTTTTGTACATATAGATATTGAAATCAAGTATCAATAATTACAGAATAGCAATATAAGATTGAAGAAAACAATGGCACTATATAGTTATAACTACTATAGGAGTTAAAGAACTAGAATCCGAAGTCTTGTGTCATTGTTTTATCTCATCATACTGTTAGCATAGTTTTACACTTGAATTTTCACATAAGCAAGGTGGTTCTTTTCATTTGAAAGTTGCTGCCAATAACTTCCATGTAGCCATAATTTGATAATCATTAACCAGTTGGTGTTTTCTCCACACTTTTTGCTCAGGAAAAGTAGGACAGAATTGAATATTGTTGTTGCCAGATATAGGCTATTGATAAGACACCCAGGAGGACCTCCCCTCAATATACTGGAAAGAAACACAGGAGGCAAAAGGTGCCTTCATAGCAAGTGGAACAGAGGAGGAACAAGAACTGCCAAGAAATGCTAAGGAATACCTAAGAGAAGAATGAGAACACAGGTTCATATGAAACAACAGAAGATAAAGTGTGAAGAAAATAACCAACTGGAAAGCAGAAAGGCAGTTACTTCAATGGAGGTCTTGCAACCTGCCCCAAGAAGTGAATAGAAAACCTCAGCAAAAGCAGCTTTGCAGAATGACGGAGGAAAATGACCAAACAGATGAGAAGCCAAAAAGAAACTACAGCAAAGAAATATGATAAACATTTTGAAGGGACTGAGTTCTGAAGTGAGTATCACAAGAACACAAAAGGTACCAAAAAGCAAAGCCGACATACAATTTTGTTCAGAAAAATGTGTAAAAGAGAGTGTAAAAGAAAGGATAATTGTACGGGCTCTATTTAGAATGCAGATGGAGAGTTAGAGAAAAACACAGACCATAATCTCTTCCAGCACACTCTGCTACTTCACAAAGATGTTTCATCGATTTGAACCATGCTCTGTCTCTTCCATCTTAGGAGACAAATTTAGAAGAAAATCAAGCCTTTTCTTTTTACTTTTCCAATTTCATTTCCAAAAACAATAGGCAAATACCAGAACTCTGACATGGTTACTGTTGGCTGTGAGATTTGGAGCATGAAGAATGAAAAACGAAATATCATTTTAGATCGAGCTATGCACAAGAATACATGCAGTAAAAACAAAGCAGAAAATAACTCCCTCCTGCAAGCAAATAAATCATACCAAGTCTTGTTTTGGTGAATGCAGTGAGTAAGAATAATGTAGACCAAGAAAAAGAAAGATGGTATACTTTAATCATAGCACAATGCATGAGATCAGTCAGTGAAATTTGAGAAAATAATAAAACATACTTTCAACAAATACTCTCAAACGTTCTTAAATGAAAAATGGACTTCGGGTGGGAGAAGGAGCAAGGATGATCTTCAGAGCGAAGAAAAGCTGTTCTATGCTTCAGCTTGATTTTTTTCCTTCCCTGTTTGTAAACTCTTGACATATTTCAGAGAGAGATACTATGAACTCCTGTTTTCACAAGGATAAATGACATGTAGTTTCTCTACTTGTTATGACACAATTCACAGGATTAGTTACTACAGAGAGTTTATATAATTCCACTTGTTTTTGCCGTGATTTAACAAAAGACCATGAATTCCTTGAGCATTCCAGACACCCACCTCCGGGCAGTATGCCTAGACCTGACAGTTACAGCTATTACCACAGCAGATCACAGCTGAGACAGTAACAGCCAAAGAGTCCAAGTGGTTCATGTGCTTTACATTAATTCATGAGAAGTTTTTTTTTAAAAAAAAAAAAAAAAAAAAAAAAAAAAAAAGATGGTAGCAGTGGTTCCAGTAGTGGTTGTAATTACTGTAACATAGCTCAATTAAGTTTTTTTTTTTAAATTAAGCCTTTCTTTGTGCCTTTCATTATTTCTGCATTACACTTCATCTTCCCTAAGCACAGCCTCCTTGAATCGTTGGCAGAGACCTCCAGAGGTCATCTAATCCAACTCTCTGTCACAGCAAAGCCAACTTAGTGCTTTGGTTACATCTATACTTTTATTTTGGCCTTCAATAAGCAAAGAATTCGGGCTGCTCAGGTATTTGGTGCTCATGTCCTTACAGCTCAGAGTTAGCACCTTTGAGGAGTGCTGACTGCTTCCATACTGCATAATACTTGTCCTGGTCTCTCCTGAGCCTCATCTGGCACCACCGTGGCACACATGTAACTGTAAGTGATTGTCAACACTCAGGGTGACAGGTCTGGGAGTGTAACAGCAAGCTGCCGCGCACTTTGAGGTACTCCTTCTATCAGTAATGTCTCCAGTTCTACATCACATCTGAGTTTTCAACAGTGCCAAGTATTCGGAAAACTTATGCTCTTTATGATTCAAAAGAGAACACTGACTTCGCAACCTGTATAAGTTCATTGTAACAAAGTTTTTGCACACAATTACTCTCGGAGCTTGCAGTCATCAACCTTAATCTGGCATTCACAAGCCTCTCTAAGTACATACTCCCTTTCTGCTTTTACAAATGACTCCCATTTCCCACAGAATTGATACAGGGATATATGAACAACTTATTTCTGCCATTTACGTATACACCTATTGATATGCTTGTCTTGCATTTTTGGACTATATGATTTTCCTGTGTATTTTGGTGTTAGTGCAGCATGTTGCTAACGGAGCCAAAATGGGTCATTTTCCCTAGTAGTAGTAGCAAGTGAGATGTGTTCATCAATGTTTAAAAATGACAGGTTACAGTTGTTGAAGGTCATGCTTTGCAATGCATTTTCACTCCAGATGGTTCTCTTTCCACTGTATACCCATGGGTTACAAATACATGGAAAAACATAGCTGTAATTCTTTTTAGGCTAGTGGTTCAGACTCAGAAATTCAGCTGGACCCATGGGAAGAGTATTTTTAATACCTTGCATAGAGAAAAATCTTTCAAACCTATTTATAACTGCATTTTAATGGAAAGAAATATCTTTTAAACTGACTTTAAAAGGGTACATTTAAAAATAGAGTGGAACTTTATTTCTAGTCTTTTCTTTTTCACTGAAATAATAAAACTTACAGTAATGACATCTGTCTTGGAGAGAAGTACCTCTTTGTATCGAGACTAACACCAGATTGCTCAGTATCTGAATAATTTCTGGATTAAGAGGAAACACATTGTGTATGGCTAACCACAATCTGCATGCCATTTATACTTCTTAATGCGATAACATTTTCATTAAAAGAGACAGGATGTGCACACATCAGAAATTGGCTTTAATTTGCCTGGATTTTTTTTTTTTTTTTTAAAAGTATGATGGTTTTCCATTGATCTCATTTCCTAACGACATAATTAAAACATAAACGCAGAAATCAGAATAAACTTGGAAGCAACTGAACAGCAAAGGCAGTCTGAGAGTAGCAAAGTAGAAGTCTCAAATAAAAACTGAGATTAGACATAATTCGATCGGACAAGTTGGAACAGACACCAAGACAGTGCTTGCACTGTCCAAACTAAAGAAAACGCAACGGCCAAAGCAACTTTGCATGTGTAAGACACTGAGTTATATTTTTATGAGTCTATTTTTTAGGCAGTTTATTTTTAGTTTGCATAGATGAAGAATTTCAAAGCAATTCAAAGAGTTCGATACATGTTCTGTTTAAAATTAATACACAAATCTTCAGCTGTAGACTGCATTTTGTAACTTTCTTTCCAAAGGAATCCAGGGAAATGTCTTGAGGATTCTAAGAAGAGTGGAGTTGTATAATGAAAGCAGGAACCCAAGGCAAAGCAGGACTGGTGAAAGAGCTGTTCCACCTTTTTCAGAACACAGAATGGACTCAAGCTTTAACGAGAAACTTTCCATCACAAATTTTTGCAGATGGACATTTTTATGAAACATGTACTCAAATTAACTTGAAACTTTTATCTTTCTGATTTTTCAATCTACAAATTGGACCTTGACTAAGTTCTAACTACTGATAAACTAATAGGCTTGGTGAGTTATAGCTCAGTAATTACCTTTCACCATGGAAAATACTTGCTGAAGACTACATTCCTAACTGGAATAAATGCATTAAAAGATTGCTTGTATAGTCGGTAATTCTTGGGCAATTACAGAAAAGGTATAATGTCTAAAACATCCAGCCCCACCTAAGTCAAGATTCCATGCCATTTTAACCCTTCTGACAAACTGCTTTAAGCTTATTTTAATATTAATCTTTATATCGTCAGTAAGTAGTGAAGCACCTCCTCAATCCCACTATGCACAGTCTTGTGGAAAGAGAAGTAACAGTTCAGCAGAGTAAGAGGGTGCACAATTATAGAAAACATTACTGTAATCTTACTTCTGCTCTCTTCAGCATCTCCCACTTATTAAGTATCTTCATGGCAAAAACCTTATCTGCATTCTTCAGTTTTACTACTGCAACCTGGAAAAGATAAATGAAAGATAAATAAGTTAAAACATGAAAATGCACGTTGTTTTCATTTTTATGAAACCTTGCAGTTTTGGAGGTTTTTTCTTCAGTGTTCTGGACACTTAGCTTTACTCTCCACACAATACCATACCATCGCCATCCAGAAAGTGTAACATCACAACAGTAGAGGATATTTATTCTGCGAAAGTTCCAAGCTTATTTTAAGCTTTCATTATGTATATCACCTAGGTGACTGTAGATGAACAATGGTATTTCTCACCATCACGCTTCTTGTTCTATCATACTATCATGAAGCTATCATTGGCTGTACGCTTTATGTTCTTGGACTTCAGTCCTATACAGTAAGTTAAATTACGGAACTGCCAAGAAAAGACAACAACGTAATAGTTTCTAAAACAAAATAAACAATATCTTTTAGGTTTTAGACACAAATTAGACTGTAGGTTTGCCATAAAACAAATTCCACTCTGATTTCAAATAATGTACTAGATTTCTTCAAAGATATAGTAAAGTATCACTTGACGTTTTTCCACCTGAAGTTCAATGAGCTCTTTATCATGTCTACTGTCAGTGGCAGGGAAACAGTGAAATCCACATTTTCTAGAGAATTAAAACTTAGGAAACATAAGCTGCCCTCCCTCTTATTGCTTCTGAAACATTAGATACCATAGGCCTATGTAATAATATATTAACAAAGCCAACCGACACAGGCCTTTTCTAAGAATATTATAGTTTTGTTTAGCTGTAATAAAAGCTAACAGAATATTTTTAGGAAGGAGGGAGGGAAGAAGTTTACACAAACATGTTTTCACAGTTCAGGCTTCCCTGGGTATGGAAAGCTAAGTGTCTTACCCAAAATGGCCATGAACCTGCCACAGACTCAGAGCTGCTGATTGGAACTAGACCAGACCACTACATTACCACCCCAATTACAGAAAAGTTCAGCAATCACTACACTTTAACAACCATTCTCCAACTATCCCATTCTGCCTCTTCCCTTTCAAATAAATCTTAAGGCTTAAGGAGATAAAAGTTTATTTCTGTGTGCATGTGGTAACAAACCAACACGCTGTCACACAGATTACCATCATCTTCATCCTGCAGGCCAGTGACAAAAAAATAGGAAGGTTGAATCCTACATTCCTTTCACATCTTTCATAATCAGTAAACAAGCTATGCGTGAAGACAGTGATAAGAGAAAAGAAAATACAGGATCAGACAGTTTGAAGAAAGTGGCATGCAAACCTCTTCCAACCATCCAACCAATGTGTCACTAGCTGCAGCAGCTTCATGAACATAAAAAAAGTGCAGGCTGAAGGACTGCAATAATCAGATGTCTCAACTAAAGTGTACCTAAAAGTGTACCTCTTGCTTAGCTATAGATTCACAGACAAAGCAGCTACCACTTCCCATATGTGCAGCAATGCATTATCGTCCCTGCTCTTGACACTGCTGCCTTCTGGGGTTGCGGGGGGGGGGGGGAGGTTGGAGTCCAGGGGGAGATAAAAAAAAGGGAGAGAAGACAGAAAGGTATTACATCTACTTGTTTAAACTAGTTTATGAACTGAAATTTTTAAAGGTTACTTCATGCATAAAAATTGAGGTTCAAGTCCAGACTTGGGATCCCTCAAGGTACTTTCAGATTTGAAACACAAAGAGATTGTTACTTTAGACTATAATCTAATTTTAATTCATAGAGAATGTCTGCTCTTCTATGCGTGGTACCCCAAGACCGAGCATCACAGATTTGCTTAGGAGAGAAAGATGAATCCTCTGCAGTGATACATAACACACAATGTGGATATGAATCTTGTCTCCTTTTACTTTACTAGCTAAAATTAGCTTGAAACTCTGATAAGCCATATCTGTTTCGATTTCTAATGAGAAATGGCAGGAGGAGAAAGCCTTAACATTGAAACTAGTCAGCATTCAAACGGTATCATATCTTGGATGACAGGGACCCCTCTGCATGATGCAATCTGTGGTATGAAGCTACAATGTGATTCTGCCCTAAAGACCTTTAAGGGTTTTGCGACTGTTGTAGGGAAAAATTAAAAGGTTGGTCCTACAGCTGATTAGATTGCTGCTGCTGCCCAGCATGAAAAGTAAGTTTTTCCCCACCATTAACCATTGTAGTATAGGCAGCCAGAGGCATAAGATAATACATGTACTTCAAGTCCAACTTCAGGATCTCATTTCTTGCCTGTAGCATGCTCAGTGAAAGGCTGCGTTATTCTGCAAAAGACTTGGTTATTGAAAGACATACACTAATTGCACAGCTGCCTAAATCTGTAGTCTCCTATACAGCATTCACTTGGACATAACCAAAAGAGCTACAGCACTGCCTTTGGTTAACAGCTAGAGCGCAGGGCTTCAATGACAAGATTGAGGGCTTGGTACCTTCCATGAATGTGTAATAGTATTGAAGTGTGACTAAAGAACAAAAATAGACTCATGTTTACCAGCTGTGTTTACAATCAGTCAGAAGCAGCCTTTTGGTCTGTGAAAGCCATTAATGTTATTCCATATCAATAACCACCACATGCACGCAAAAAAAGATCAAACACATCATCATTTTTCTGCAATCACAGCATCCTTTGGGGGGTGAGTGCTGTATGAAAGGAATTTCTAAAATGCTTATTTTTGGGACTATGAAAGAAAAACCTGATACTTCAGCAATGAGCAGACTGATGCAGTTTCTAATTGTAACAAAAAATTCTGAAACATGATTACAAACCCAGGCAGTGTTTACACACACACACAGAGGTATATACTATGTTTACAAAGGCCCAAATACACACAGAGTGCTGTTTTGATCTTCTCCCTCCCCCAATGAAGGCATCAAGACAGAAGAAAGGGTAATCGTTCCTGTCTAGTTATCCTGAAGTGTCTGGCTACTGGAATTTCTTAAAATTCTTAAAAAAAAAAGGTTGGAGGTTTTTTAAATTTATATTTTCCTGTGAGCAGCCCAACAAAAAATGATTGGTATGTGCTGATGTAAACATCTTGCTTTAGTCAGATAGGGTTTTTTTCCCCATTCTTCCAACAATTTTCCGTATTTCCCACAAACAGCAGTACAGTCTGGCATGCCGTCAGACACCTTCTGCCCCAAACTTGGCTACTTGTCTCTATGGTACATGTCTGAACATTTTTTTTTGTTTAAAAAGCAACAGCCTTATACAGAAAAAAGCTAAAACAGAAGCTATTAAAATTAAAAAAAAAAAAAAGAAGAAAAAAGGAAGAAAAATAAAAATAATAATAATAAAAAAAAAAGACTCAGCACTCAGCATTGGTTTTCTTGTTCATCAACAGCAGGCAGCCCTCCAGAAACAGAAAGAGGGAATGTTACCATTCATAACTGGATGCCAAAATTTAGGAGTAACTAACTAGTTCTCAGAGCTACAAAATTCATCATCTTCAAAATATCAACGACATAATATCTGCTTGCATAAGCCAGCACCAAACTTTTTAGTTTTTTAAGCAACAATAGAATCAACCAAAAATTTCGGTATTAGCTAGAACCTTCAATAAGCCATACTTTTATCCTGCTGAGACACACCACTAAGAGCACTGCCCCGTTGCTTCACCTTTCCTAGCAGCATTTTTCAACTCCCAAGTTTAAAGTCCTCTTACTTAGAGTTGTTCGTTAAGTTTTTAAAACTATGCTGCCCAAAGCCAGCACAATGAAACACTTGATGCCTACATTATTAATTTTACCAGGATAATCCTCCTCCTCCAAGCAAGACATCTGTGTTTTCTAAAGACAGCACTCTTACATAAAATTTTAAATAAGTAAATGTATGCATGCAGAGGGAAGGGGCATGTCATTAATTTGACAAAAAGAAAGCATTCTCAGACTGGCAGCAAGCAGGTTAAGGGGAAAAAGAAAACTAGGAACAATGAACTCCTACAGTTATAAGCCATAACTAGTTTAAACTACTTTTTGTCTACATCAAACTTATAAAAATAAAAAGGGAAATATTTCTTGACTATGCAAATTGAAGAAATTGAGTAGCGTAAAATCAAAATAAGAACAAGTCTGAGACTGTGCCAAAGAAAACTTGCACTAAGTTTGTAGTCTACAGAATTTCAGAATTATGTTGATTCAGGAGACAAAAATTACTCCTCCCAGTAACCTACAGCAACCTTGGTCTCATTTATAGTCTGCTGGAAAGAAAATACATTCTTCCAGATTTCTTAATCTGCCTCAGTAAACTACTGTACTCTACTGCATCATACAAGTACTTTGCAATTTAATATTAATATAGTTTTTGGTGGCTTAAGTAGCACTAAAATTTGGTGGTCCTTTTTTAACCTTGCTTGGATATTTACTAGTTATTTTCAAGGAAAATTAGTAATTGCATACAGAACTTGTTTTCTTAGACAAATGTCTGTGTAGGACTTGAAACTTGTCTTTAAGCTAGTAAGAAAATTTAACATATATCCTTGCAAGTATTTAGTAAGTCCTACTTTAAGAACATACAAAACCAAGCATCTTCACTGAGAGAACTTCAGCTTTCCCCTTACTGAAGATTTTGACAATAGAGTCATGCTATCTTTCTCAGATAAGGAATTGGAAAGAAACACTGTTCCTAAAAGAGGAGAACTAGCCAATTACACAGACTGTCCCCAGAAGAGCATGGGGAAAGTTACGCTCTCACTATTCATGGGATGATTCACCACAAAGAAGCTTCCCGAGAAAGAACTACAGTTTTTTTGTGGTTTAGCTGCTGCAGAATTTGATGCCGATTTAGCAGACAAAAATGACTTCTCTTAAAAACACAACATAAGGCAAGTTTCACATATGATTCTTCTGACAAGAAAGTACCCACATCAGTGATTTTTCTAACATCTTACACAATCTGTACATAAACTCAGCTGCAACTACTGTGACAGCACTGAGAAAAGCCAATGTTTTAAGCAGAAGCGTTTACATCAAAATGGAGAATGCAACATTCTCCTTGTGGCAGAGGTTCAGACTAAAGATATATTATCCATGAGTAACTTCGCCCTTCAGTCTCCTTTATAAAGAAGCATTACTCCAGATGGAGGAAAATCAGCAAAAAAGTGATAAAGTAGCTAAATAAATACCACTCTTTTATTGTTATTTTTACAGCTGCCCAATGATGACATTTGCACATAGGCATCATCAGAGTATGTAGTGACATACACTAAAATTTCTTGTTCCTTACATACTACCTATAGAATCTATTCTTCCATAACCACAGACTAGTAAAGGCTAATTTTCACACATGATGCAAACATGTAAGTGAACCTGAAACCAACTCTTCTCTGTCATGTGCCATAGAGCCTCCAGAGATCCTCTCACACCAAAGAGAACTGACTCCCCCTCACCCCCCCCAAAAAAAAACCCCAAACCATTTCAAGTTTCAAAAGCAATGCTTCTGAGCAATTGCTCAGAAAATCTTTTTCTTATACTTTGGGTTTCAGTTCACATGTATTTTCAGGTAGTATGGAGTACCTTCTGCAGAAGCTTTACGTACTATCCCTATCTGTAGTATACTCGGCTACCAAAAATTCAAGGCACTGTTATACGTTAGGTTGCTCTTTCTACATACATAGTGTCCTGCATGAAGAACAAAGCACATGCACCTAATACAATTAAGAAGGGGCAGAAAGCTAGCATTTATTTATTCAGGTTTCCTCAACCTATATAATCTGACATGCCTAATGTAAAACTTAGTGAACTTTTCTTGACTACTTCAAATAAGAGACGGTTTAATCAGAATCAGCAGAAAGTTGTATAGTTTGATAGCAGTAGGTGACAACTGAAAAAGAAACTAACATTTGCTAAACTCTTTAAAAGATATACAGGAAAAATATTCAAACATTCATTAAAAATAGGAAATGAAGTGACAGGAATAGAGAGATTTCTCTGTGTTCTTAGAATGTCAATATCAATATTTGGCTATTTAAGTTGCTGAAAACTACTTTCAGACTATTCAGTTATTAGGATGATTAGAAATTACTAGATCTTTATACCATCAGTAACTCACTGGCCTCCACCTGCTGATTGGGAAGCATTAGTCAAGCAAATGATTTATCATCAGACAGTTGAAACATGGTCTGTTAATCCATATGAACTTGCTTTTTCTCAAAATTGAAAAGATTTTAAAAGAGCTGTCAAAGAATGTATAAATCAAAATGTACCTGCAATAAACATTAGGTGGGCCTACAATACCTATTATGCCTAAATAATGTAAAAATCCGCACATCAGTATATTACTATTAACTGTCTGTCCACAGTGCTGCAGATTTGCAAGAGCATTATTCAAACCCTCCCTTCCACCTCCTTCACATACATACCTCCCCAAAGGCTCCTCGACCAATCACCTTCAGGATTTCAAAATCTTCTTTATGTAGTCGCATCTGTTTCACCTTAGACGTAAAAGGTTTGGCTGAAACAAAGGAAAATATCAATCATTTAAAAAAACCAAACAAACCAACCAACCCACACCAAAACCAAAAATCCAAACAGCAAGATAAAAATAGATGTAATTAGAGCCCTGAAAACAACAGACCGTTTTGCTTATATACCTGTACTCCCTAATGTAATATAATGAAGTTTAAAACTAGAAATAATGACCAGTAAGAACTAAGCCAAAACTGCTGTGAGAAGTTTAAGTAAGCTTGCTTTTGCTTTTTTTTTTTAGTTTAAAGAGGAAAAAAAAAAAAAAAAAAGAAAAGAGTCAAGCTGACTATACTTTTCTACAGTCTTTTGCGTTCATAGACATCCACTGCATCTGTGCTAGATGTTGTTAACTGTGGTTGCAAAAGCAAAGTGTAATACAATGAGGAGTTCACATTGGACAATATTAATTTCTCTGCCAGAAAGCAAAACAATATTGCATTCAATGAAAAATTAAAATGCTGATGAATGATAGCTGGAAGGGCAACATTGGCCTAGACGATGTATCATGCAATGTTTTTGGAGACCACTTCTTCAAAATAGGGGACACTTAATAGTCAATTCTTGGCTTCTGGAAGCGAGAACAGTTGTACTTAAGGCATTATTAACACATTCAATGGAAAAGCCCCACATATATAAAGTTGAAGCTTCATTTCCCTCTTCTTTTCCCCCTCATTTTTATAATATCTTTTAAAGCAGTAAGCAAAATAAGCAAATTGGTATTTGCTGGAGCAAAATACTCCAGCCAGGTAACCCCAGTGTTCTTTGCAATGAAACAGTATCAGGAGAGCTGCTCCCCTCTTTCAGCCCCATTTAGCACTACAACTAACCAGTCCCAGTTCATTAATACTTGCTCTCTGCATGCAAAACATTCAAGTTACTGACAACTCTACCTCAAAACCCACATAACTCAATGTTTGGTAAAAAAGAAAAAAAAAAAATCCACACCAAAACTTTAAATAATTATGCAGGAAAAGTAGTTCTTTGAAAAATAATTGTTTTAAAATCATGTTTCATACTTTACACAAATGAGATCTATTACTAAAACAGAAGCTTCAGTAAATACGCTTCATAAAAATTGCCCATAAAAGAAGGTTGTATAACCCAGCGTATGCACGACTAGAATGGGTCTCAGAAAACGTTAAGTTCAACTTCTTGCTCAAAGGCAGTCTTTCTCAATGATCCTAAACAAGCAACTTTAGATACTTCACCCCCAGTTTCACATTTATAAAACAGGGACAGTATTTTTGTAACAGACAAGGCACTGACCATCACATACTTGGATCAAGAAAGAAACAAAAAAGTGCATTGTAAGGTAGCCAGTTTACATGGCCCAGAAACCCCTTTTTAGCTTACGCTTTCGTGGTACAGGGACCTATCTATGCCCACTTCTACCTATACAGAGGCTGACAGAATTAGTACAGCTTTTTTTGCAGTGAAGAGTTGTAACAGGTACCACACTGCAGAACAATTTGTTCAGAATAATGTTGCTAAACAGAAATGGGAATTAGTTTTCAAAAGCTCCAAAAGCAAATGACCCTACATAACCACCAAATTTTATCTAGACACGTGTAAGAAACCCAGTTTGGGTTCTCCTAGAATTCAGTATTTTGTCTTTCTAATGTTATGAACTAATCCTGCTAAAAAAACCCAAACCCTAATACTGATACAGATAACCCACCATTCAACTTAGAATTTTGATATTAACACGCACCCCTTCAAGGCACTACAAAATCCTTGTCCAAAAGCCTACTACTGCCTACTATTCAGCAAAGCAATTTTATAAATTGAGTCAAGACACAAGCTACCTGTATTTTTAATACCTAAAAAACCCCACAAAACGCCCCTATCCTAGTCCTTAAATTAGCATTGTAAATCACATCTGAAAAACAACAATGCAAAAGTGCAGGATCTTATGTTTCTCCAGTTAAGCAATTCAGCACACCTCCACTAATGTTAGTGGTGCAATGGATTAAATCCTTTAAAAATCTCAGAGGTTCCAAAGTCTGAACTTAGTGAATTTTTTAAAAATTTGTTTTAACTACAGAAGCATCAGCTTATAATTAAAAAAAATCTAGGGGTTAGTTCCAAATAGTAAAGATGTAGCCATACGACACTTGAGATTTTCACTTTACTGATATTTTCACTTATAAATTTAAATAGTTTTATTTAAAATATTTAATTGTACAATTAAAATACAGGCTTAATATTACATTTAAAATACTTTTAAAATGTAATTTGAACAGAAGTATATTACTCGAGTTCACAGAGATTCCCAAATTTTCAGTTAATCTTTTACACCTTAAAAGAAACGTCTGGCAATAGAAAAAGTAAGTGACAACAAAATGTACTGCCTTACTGGGAAAGCCTCAGCTGTACTGTACCAAGTGATTTAATACGAATACTAATACTACTGACGAATACTACTGAACAAATTAAAACAAGCCATTAAAGCCTTTTAACTTGAAAAACATCTGATTGAAAACAAACGTGTAGTTCTCGACTGCAACATTTTCTGACCATTATAGACCTGGCTAGAGTACAAGGCAAAATATCTTGTTAACAAGCAACAGCATAGCTGTTTAAACCACAAAACTCTTCCTCACTTTACATTGTAAGGAAAGGGCTGTCATTCTTTAATTATTACATTTTGGAATCTTCCAGGGTTCCCATAGGGACACTGGAAAAATAAACATCATTGTAACTACTTCAGTAAAATACAGCCGACAAAAATAGGTTTGGATTAGTTTTAATTATCTGTAGTATCGGCGTTAGTGGAAAATTTGGTAAACCTTTCTCTTTATTTTTTTTTTATCGCCTCTAGCAACGACATGTCAACATATAGCCAAGCAGTTTTATGAAGAAAGACACAGTCCAAGAAAAGAAAGGAAAGGAGGTGGGGGGAATATAAAAAAAAAAAAAAAAAATTTGCCCTAGGAATGTGCTCCAAATAGCTTGTTCCAAAAAAGGTCAATTTGCTTTATCATCAACATTGTTTGTCTGCTGTGCAAACATCTGCTGTTCTTGTGGCAACAGCAATCTCAAGTACAGAAAACTTGGCCTGGCGTCCAAGGGTCTTGGAAGGCATATCTTCAGACAGCCGCTTCATACATCCAGCTTTCCAGACTATGAGGTTAACAGGCAGACTTTCTGCAACTAGTTTGGCAACGTTATACGAGCCGTTACAAAGACAGCAAGCAAACTGTAAGGTCAGGGAACGGTTTTCAAAATGCAATGTGCTCAAAGGGGTCCCTGCAGTGCGGCTCTGTTAAAACATACAGGTACACAGCCCTCCCCTGCTTACATCCCATCCCCCTAAACAGAATCACCGTGAAGTTGACAGAAAACACCACCCCCTTTTTCAGAAGGGGCTGCAGTTTCCTTGATACCAGAGTGACACACTGCCTTTGCATCTTTTTGAGAGCAAAAGGCAGTATGGGTATTACCTTTGGTACTTCATTTAACCTACAGAAGAAATACATAGAGGGATAGCCCATTTCTCCACACAGACATCCCTTTTCAAGGTTGCTAGCCATGTGCAATACAGATTAAGGACCAGCAGCTTGCCAAATCGAATTCCTCCTCCTCCAAACCAGAGGGTAAGTGTGGGCAGCATGTCCCCTGGCTCCTCCTGGATTT